TGACCAGTGAGGTCCAACCAGTCAAGTGTGAGGATGGATTTCTCACCGATGATATTGGTTGGTGCCAGTTGTGCTAAATCAGGAATTGGTAGAAGTTAGAATTCATAGGTTGGCCACTGAATCGGGTTCCAGTAGCTGAATGGTATACGAGCTTGCCTCGTGACCGTAATGCCTTGGGTTCGAACCCCTGTGGTGAGTGCGTACTGCCAATGATTTCCAAACTAGGATGGAGGAAACAGCTGTCCAGTACTCCCTGGCTGGCTTTCAATGGTTCTCTAACTGATATCAATCTGTGGTCGAACTCATATTTGTATCTCTTGACAACTTTTGTTGCAACTGGTTGTTAATTTGCAGTAAGATTGCTCGTCCTTATTGGTTCGGAATTTGATTTATTTGTTGCGTGACTTATTCCTTATTAATTGGCAAATTTGATCCTTGACGGAAATGGGCTCTCCGATTAATTTCATAAAGAGACATATGAAAACACTAGAGAGAAAACCTGCGACTATGACAGTATGTAAAAAACCTCTATTTTATTAAGTTACAATTTAATGGTGACTTGTCAAATGAGATTTTATTCCAAAGACTTTCCAGGAGTATTCGAATGACTTTTTTGCAGTAAACCTATGTTTGTCATTCTTTAGCGGACGAATGATTAGGAAGGACTCAAACGAAGGATAAGCTAGACAGTTCTGCCATATCTATGTGCATTTATCACTTCAACTGCACCTGAGGTGACAGTTCTGTTGGGCGTACTAGCAGATAACTTGGCCAACGTGTTAGTGAACGTCTCCCATCGTGGTTTGGCAAAGGACAGACATAAACAATCCGTAGCTCCGTTTTTTTCACATCTAGTTGATAGTGGTCAATTAGTGGAAAAAACGAAAGCATTCAAGGGGATTCATCTCATCCCACCGAATCTTTCCAATGGACTTCGTATTCGTCTACTGCACATATAACTGAGGCGATGGGCAGTCGAACTATTAAACCTAAACTATGCATTCAGAAGAAGTTCGTACAGCCATTATCCCTTCCCCCTTGGCCTATTTTAAGACCTAATCAACTAGTTGATGACGTCTCCACCACTCCTTACTTATATTGTTCAACCCCTCCTCTCTTATCATCCCTTAGTCTTATCACATCTTCATTAAGAACGTATTTCATTTACTTCCCTTATTATCTAGCATTACTTAATCGGTTCATTTGTTTTTACTGGCCTTTATCGACTACTTCCACCTGAACAGTTGTTTGTTTAATCATGCTGTTTTTCATTATTCGTGTTATCGCAGATTGCCTCACTTTTTCATCCTTATTATTGATAAGACCATTTCTATTATTACTATAATTATTATTATCATTACTACTATTATGACTAATTGCACAATTTATATTCACCATCGTATTATCCTATAGACAAAACACCATGATTGGTTTATATTTGAATTTTCAAGAATTGGTTTGTAGGGACTTGATTTGTTTTTTGAGTTAGACTTCAGATTGATATTAATTAGAGAACCATTGAAAACCAACACTGGAGTCCTGGACAGCTGTTTCTTTAGTCCTAGTTTGGGACTCATCGACAGTATGTACCCACCACAGGAGTTCGAACCCAGGACTTTCCTGTCACAAGGCAAGCTAGTATACCACTTGGCTACTGGGACCTGATTCAATGGCTCATGAATTCTAACTTCTACCAATTCGTGATTTCAACGCTTCTGGTACCAGTCAATGTCATCCATGGCGAGTATTTCTCCCCACAGCCGATGGCATTGTCTAGAAGTTGATAGAATTCATCGGATATCCACTGGGCCGGGTCCCAGTGGCTGGAATGTTCTACAAGCCTACCTTATAACTGCTGTGTCCTGGGTTCTAACCCCTGTGGTGGGTGTGTACTGCCGATAAGTCCTAAACTAGGACGGAGGAAACATGCCTGTCCAGTGCTCCAGTGCTGGTTTTCAATGGCTCCCTAACTTATATTAATATTAGAGTTAAGCCGCTTGAGATCTAATTGAAAAGAATATTGTTAGCTTAAATGTATTTTTCTGTACTAATGCATCTGTTAATCAGTGATTTGTCTGAGTGTCAAGCTTCTAGGAATACCCTGGCATTTTCAGGCTTCTCACTGTCTAAGATTCCTACATTTTCCCAATAAAATTGCTGTCTCTAGTTGTCTACATACATCGAAATGAAGCAGGAATACATATATATGTCATGTCGTATGAAACCTTAGAAACCTGATACTCAGAGGAGTGGGCCAGCGGTTAACAGGCACACATTACCATTATTAGATCAGATTTGCCAACTAATAAAGAATAAGTCAAATGACAAAAATGCGTCATATTTCCAAGTCAATAAAAAAACAAATAATACTATAATGAAAATTAACAATTAATCTCAATAGAGATTGTCCGGCGGTTGGGGGGAGTACAATTATATCACATTCATGGAAAACTCAAATAAATATTCTAACTGATTAAAAATGCCCATTAAAATTTTCAAAAGAATGGATACTGAACAAAGAATACTCCTTTCGATAACTTCATCATCAGGCTCTACAGTTATATATACATTATAGTGAATGAATGAATGAATTAGTGTTATGAACAACATTAATGTTGTTTAAATAACATCGAATCAATAATATTGATAGATTACAGTTCAGTAGCATCAACATAAAATAAGCTGAATGTCAGAAAAATTAGGAAAGATAATATTACAAATTCATGAATTTATAGTCTCTACTGAAGGCCGGCCAGGGCAGTAGTAGTGGCTAGCTGGACTTGCTTCTTCTGCACACAGAGCACTGGTTGTTTGAAGCGAATTGCAATAGCCTCTGCTGTTTGGAGCATGCGGTGCTTCGATGATTTTGGCAATTTATTAGGCACCCGGTAGATGATGATAGAGAAGGATTCTTCAATGTTGGCTGGCTTTGTGGCCGGTTTGCACCAGATGGTCCAATATCGAACTGTTAATGGTTTTCACTACACCTTTACTTAGCCATAGTGGGAGATGTTCTCGAGAAAGCACGAAAAATCAAGTTCCTAGAGCAACGGCCGATATAACTCACTCCACTCACTTCATTTTAAAGCTTGCACTGAAGATATTGTCCAGGAAGATAATGACAGGTTCCTAATTGTGAATCACCCAGCTCAGAGAACGCGACAACATCAAAATTATCCACATCTTAGCGACAAATTTCTAATATTTCATTATTGTCATTATTATTATTATCATAATTATTTTTAGGAGTTAATTTTGTAGGGATTTCACCTGTTGGAAGATTGATCATGAACTAACATTAGTTAAAAAACCACTGAAAATCAGGGAGTACTGGACAGCTGTTTCGTCTTAGTTTGGGACTCTTCAGCAGTATGCATCTAACACGCCACCAAAGTGACTCTAGACTATAGTTGCCCGAGACAGAACTACCTAGTGAACGAACTAATTACCTTGAGCAACTAGTCAGATGTGTCCGTAGTAATATAGGCGAAATTATGGGTGTTGTATGCGAATTACTCAGCAAATTCCATCCAAATCTAGTATTTAGGTACTGCTTAGACAACAGGCTTATTGGAAGGGAAAAAACGTGTAACCAGTTGTCATTCTTGAGCTGTATTCACAACATAGTCAACGGTCAATCATACGAACGATTTCGTCAATGCTTTCGATGAGACTGATACAAATTCCATCGGAGGTTTCTGCAGTCACTTAAAAATGAACATCAGAGCAGTGAATGGGTGGGTCAAGAAACACAATGATTTACAGTTATGTTGACTAATTTATGTACGGAAATTAGTTTAACCTAACTATGAGGACTCCTGTATGTGAAGTTCAGAGGTTTTCTTGGAACATATACAGGAACGTTATCCTATGTAACTGTTTTCTAAAATTGCATTACTTTTATATGAACTTTATACTTCTGCTTCTGACGCGTCTGATTGGTCGTTGGATACTTGTCAGGGTCTTTATCAGGTAGTTTCTTTTTGGGGTCACCTCTATCGCTAGGGATCGAAGTGGAGTGATAAAATAGGATGAGCAATATTGAGATTAGATGTCGAGTGCTAGGTAAGGTGGGGAAATCAACAGACGAGACTGTGAAGGTAGATCGACTGAAATGGTTGGGACATGTGTTATGCATGCATGGCTAGCCATCGCCTTCCTGGAACGACGGGCAATGTTGGCTGACATAGGATCAGTTTGGAAAAGAGCTAACTACTGGTGGTGGCTTCATCAGTCAATGAAATCCACAACAGTTAGTTTAAGTCAGTTACATAGGGAGGTGTGGACTGCGTGACTGACTGGTTGGGGTCCTCGGGACGGTAAAAACCAACACCAATGGCTGGAGACAATTGGTGATATGGCTCAAAATCGTTCTCAATGGCTAGCGCAGTTAGGTGCATCCACTCCTTGTGACTTATAATACCCAATGAAACTATATTGTTCTTCGATATTACTATTCCTTTTGTCTCATATCTCTGTTTACTGTCTCTGTTTTGCATTTCTTTTTACTTTCTTCTCTTGCTTTGTGTGCTACAAGGAGGGAGTGTGGCGACTCGAACTGCTGCATATCGGTGCAAAGTTTCATGTTGAAACCAGTCAGTCAATCAGGGATCGAATCTGGAACTTTCAGGTTACGAGGCCAAGCTGGCGGCCTATGACAAGTTAGAATTCATGCGCCAAGTAGCTGAATAGTCGACCAGCTTGACCTCGTAACCTAAAAGTTCTAGATTCGGTCCCTAGCGGTGTAGTCGTGGATGCCTACTGTTGAAGAGTCCTAAACTAGGACGAAACAGCTATTCAGTACTCTCTGGTGGTTTTCAATGGTTCTCCAACTGATATCAATCCGTGATCATACAAGAAACAGCTCACTTAGTATTTTTTTCTTCTTGAGGTTAAAAGTTCTCATAAAAATTCACTTATCACTTACTTAATAGTAATTTCATTGTTAATATAATAAGTCTTCAACAACTGTTTGTCATATTCTTCTTCTTCTTCACTAGGTTAGTCCTGTCGACGGTAAAATACTCCACTGTGGTGTAATTGATCCCCGTAGACCAGTGCTAGAACAAATCAAAGGTGTCCATTATTCACTTGATGAATTTCTTGGCCCAATCGTCCAGTTGAATCATTCTAACCCGCAAAAGACAGATAGTACACTTTACCAATGTGTTATTTATCTGGCTCCGGGTGATTATCATCGTTTTCATAGTCCTGTTGATTGGATGCCTACAGTTAGACGACATTTTCCAGGTTAATCATTATACTTTCTTTTCTTTTTTTCTTGCTGGTTACAGGATTTCATCATGAGCTGAAATTGGTTAGAGAACCATTGGAAAACCAGGCAGGGAGTACTGGACAGCCAGCTGTTTCCTCAGTCCTAGTTTGGGACTCTTCAGCAGTACGCACCCACCACAGGGGGTGGGACCCACTCACTACCTTATGGTTACAAGGCTAGCGAGCTCGAAGACCATTAAGCCAATGGCAAATGAATTCTAAATCCTGCCAATTCGTGACATAGCGCGACCGCTAGCCAACGTCTTTGGCGAGTATTTGTCCTCACACCTGACCTGCATTCTATCACTGAATGACAATAACATTAATGACAATTCACTGTGTACACGTTTAACTGTTACCTTCCAAGTGGAACATAGAACTTCAGCATCATATCTCCATTCTCTAGCGGTTCCACGATTCGTCATAAGCTTTCAATTCTTCCTCCTCGTCACAAATGGCTTCCTTCATGTCGTCACCTTTGGACGCTATACTGACTGTCTTCAACTCGGGTGTCCCTTGAGGAGAGGATTACTTAGCGTGTAGTGTGTCACTCAATTATTGTTATTATCATTGTTCCCTTGGGTTCCGAGTGGAACATAGGGCTGGCTTCAACAACACATCTCCACTTTGTTCTGTTTTCTGCCGTCCTCTTCAACTGACTGGGCACACGATTGACCAAACTGTCTCATCTCTTCCTTAAACGATCTCCTCCATGTCACCCTCGCATTGACGACCCACTCGTCGTTTCCGATCTGGATTCCAATCGAGCGCTGGCCTGGCGTGCGATGTCATTTGTTTGCCTCCTCAATGTATGCTCCATCAAGCCACCTCCACTTCCTCCTATATATTTGTTGAGTGGTCGGCTTTCGCCTGTTGGTTTGTTCCCAGATAGAGTTTCTTGTTGCTTATTCTTTCTGGCCATTTGACCTTCAGTATGGAGCCAGCGAAAGAGGCAGCTGTTGATGAAATCTGCAGCCTGTTGGAAATCCTTTTTGTTACACACAGGCCAAGTTTCTGACCCATATAGAAGAACCGACTTCACACTGGTGTTGCAAATGTGACTCTTGTTCCATATGCTGAGTGCAGAAGATTTTCAAACTGGTTTCAGGTTGTTGAAGGCGTATCTTGCCTTTCCGATTCTGGCTGACTTTGACATCTTCGTCCGTACCGAATGCCTGTGGTTGAAACGATGCTTCCCAGATAAGTGAAGGAGGCAATCTCTGTCAAATCTCTCCCGTTGATGGTGATTGGTGCTAGTTGTTATTGTTGCTGTTGGCTGGCTGGTTATCTTCATCACCTCCGTCTTCCCTGTGTTCACCTGGAGTCCTGTTTTCGCTGCTAGCCGCCTCAGCCAGTTTGTTGGCTTTGTTGGCTTCCAAGTCTTCGAGTTTGTGTGACATTAGACATATATCATCTGCGAGATCCAGATTAGTCTTCTCATCAGTCGTCCAGCGTATTCCTGACTCCTCGCCCCCAACTCAGTCCGACGCATAATCCAGTCCACCACAATTAAGAATATCATCGGCGATACTAGGCAGGCAGCATTGTCTTACTCCTGTATGCACTTCGAACGCCTCGCTGACTTTTACGTTGTGGATCACTTGATATGTGGCATTGTCATATAGTTGTTGAATGAGGTTGACAAAGACTTGAGTTACGCCGTAGTGTTGAAGTAGTTTCCAAATTACTTCTCGGTCAACACTGTCTGTCGCAGGCTTTTTCGGAGTCGATGAAGTTGAGGTGCTGTAGGTGGAGATGTATTTCTGGGCGAGTTGCTGGTGGTGGTCGATTTAAGAGTCCTTTGTAGTGGTCAGCCCATTCATTGTTTGATTGGTTTCTCCTCCTTGGTGACCAGGTCTCCTTAAACATCTTTTATTGTTTTCATCATCTGGGTTAATCTCTTCCGGGATAGAGACTTGGTTGTCTGATGTAGTGTCCTGATGTCTCTTTTGCCTGCGGACTGCCTGTCTGTTCTGCTTCAGTTGCCAGCCATGTGTCGTAGAATTGTCGTTTGTCTTTTCTAGCACTCTTCTTCAGTTCTCTCTTTATTCAGTGCAGTGTACATTGGACTCAGCTTCTCTTTCTGTTGTCCATCTTTGCATTGAGTCATCTTCTCTTTCACCATCCTCCTCTTCTCTCCTTGGTTAGCTTACAGGTAGGTATCCGTTAACAGCCATTCCTTGTCTTGGCTGGTCTCTTGCTTCTTCATAGAACAGTTGTACACGTTTTTTCTTAAATATCGTTTTCAGAGAGTTAGTTTCAATGTTCTTCCATGCAGGTTTCTTCAGTGATGCCACGTAGTATGTCCGACTTTGCTCTGATCTGATCTGTAGCGAAGGCATTCCTTGTAGCTGTGTCCTTCAGTTTCTGAATTGCTATAGGATGATAATAGTTACTTTCTCTGTCTACGCCCCCACAAATATATACACATTCACATCAATTGATTACGTAGATTATATAAGCACTTACATGAATTTATGCGTTTTATAATAATAATAATAATAATTATTATTATTATTAATATGGTCACTTTGATTATTATTCACGAATTCACATATTCGACTGACCACATTGATATCAAATCTCTGTGATTAATATTTTATTGCACAATTTTAATTTTTAGAATTTACTATTCACATTTCGTCCTATTGGAGCCTCGTCATCTGGATGTAATCGGATTCCCAATGAGTGATGGTGTGTTCCCGTTGACTAAGACTCTGACGATGCACCCATTTCATTTCAGGCACCCAAAGCATTATCCATCAGACCCTCTTTCTCTTTTTCTCTCTCTCTCTTTGCTTCATTTCTTTTGTGTTCCCAGTGAAACATAAAGCGTCAAACTTGAGCTTTGGTAGTGTTATTTTTACGAGATGGAGTGGCTAGTCTCATGCTCAACCCCACCCTCTTTTCTTGACCTGTTACTGGCTAGTAAACTGCTCATGGTTTCAGAGTGCGTCGGTGTGGTTGACAGAAATTCTACCGCTGGACTACCGACGCATCAAAATGTCAAGTATTGTCTTGCAGGAGTGTGATTGATTTCAAGGTTGGTCGCGAAATGGCTTCAGTTTGAGCGAACCATTTGAAAGTCAGGGGGGGGGGGTACAAGGCGGCAGCTGCCTAGTCCTTGTTAGGGACTCTTCATCAGTACACACCTAGGATCAATAAGGTTACATGTCGAGCTCGTAGGACCATTCAGTCATTTGAACCGGGATCCAATGGTTAGAGCGTGAATTCTAACCTCCACCTATTTTCTATATAGTGCGACTGCCGCCAGTCAGTATCACTGGTTGGTTGGTGGACCTCCGCTGGCCATGATTTTTAACTACTAAATAATCCCGGACAGGGACGAAACGGCTGCCCCAGTACTCGCTTGTTTTCAGTGATTCTCTAACTAAAGTCAGTTCCTTCAAAAACTTCATGCAATTCTTCTCATTAATAAACTTGAACAAAGTAAGAACAACAATTGTACCAGGATAATATGAGCTCATCTTTTATTATTTCAAGGATTCTTCTCAACTGGTTACAACCTGAACGATAAAAAATATGAATTACATTACATTAAAGATTTGAACATACTTTTCCACGATCACAAGGAGTAATTGGTAGGAAGTAATTAGTTACGTGCGTCGGTGGTATAGCGATTAGGACGCTCGGCGACCATGCACATGGTCCAGGGTTCGATCCCCGGCCACAGACGCACTCCTTTAACTCGCAGAGCCAGAAATAATGCTGGTAAAGACGAAAGGTTGGGCATGAGGCTAGCAATCCTATCCTGTAAAATAAACACTGCTACAGAAACTTCAAGCCACTAGCCTGAAGCCCTATGTTCCACTGGGGAACGTGAAGGAAAAAAAATTAGTTGCGTAATCTACCTTTTTGTTATGCTCTGTCTAGCTAAACCTTGTTTCTATACATATATATATATATGCAACTCTGTTTTTGTTTCCAAGCCTAATTACCTAATTATTCTATAAATATTTATAAACTGTCAAATATTGATCACAGTTCATTTGAATTATTCTATAAATAGTCACTGTTTGTAACTCTTAATTAGTTAAATCATTCCGGATTAATGTTACTTTTACTTCCTACAAATTACTTACTCCTTGTGATCGTGGAAAAGTATGTTCAAATGTTTAATGTAATGTAATTCATATTTTTTTTATCGTTCAGGTTGTAACCAGTTGAGAAGAATCCTCGAAATAGTAAAAGATGAGCTCATATTATCCTGTTACAATTGTTGTTCTTGCTTTGTTCAAGTTTAAAGTCAGTTCGTTGTCAATTATGGCATTAAATTGTGTTCTCTAATTGTCCAATTGTAACGACAGAAGGCAAGATTCAGGCAACAGATCATTTATTAAGGAAATCAACGCATATTTATATATTTGCATGTACATTACTATGGATATTTAAGTAAACAAACACAGTCTTCCGATTGGTTGTTTCTCACGTAAAGTTAATCTTTCATCTATTTGTGACTGTTTCTTGAATGTCAAATCCTCTATATGTTAACTGCATCCGCCTACGCAAAGTCTGCTGTGGTCGGTTTTGAATCAATCTTTGTTCACATTTTCTCACGACAAACCTTGGGAACGTAAATATTGACGTAAATTACTGTCTACCAATTTGGCTAGTAGACAGCTCTCACCACACAATCATAGTATTATTATTATTATTGTCATTACTGTTTTGCTTTATTTATTTACTTACAGGTAGATTGCTTTCAGTTCGTCCTAATCTAGCTGGACGCTTGCCCGGCTTATATGCAATCAATGAACGTGTAGTTTATCTCGGTGAATGGAATCACGGTTTAATGTCATTCACAGCTGTTGGTGCATTCGGTGTTGGAAATATTCGTGTCAACATCGATCCTACATTGAGTACAAATAAAAAGCAGGATAATCCACTGCGTTATCGTTTTACAAATCTTGTGAGAAGAACAATTAACCAAGAATATAATCCACCATATTTAGAGGCAATATTTACAAATAATAATAATGATAACAATGATAATAATAATAGTAATAGTGTGAAATTGAATAAAGGCGATGAGCTAGGTCATTTCTGTTTAGGTTCTACAGTTGTCTTAATATTTGAAGCGCCTAAAAATCAATTGAAATGGTGTGTCACACCTGGTCAACGAATTAAACTTGGCGAACCAATCATTATGGATTGTTAAAATAAAATTCAACATCTGCTGTGGAGAATATTAACTTTGACTAGTTCTCCCCTTCCCCTTTTTCCCATTGTACAGTTGATACCTTTAATTGTTATTTTTTAAAATTTTCTTCTAGAGAATATATGTGCATTACTAACTTTTTTTGCTATAGTTTGATAGGATACCCTTGTAATCAGAATTGTTATCTTGAAACAGTGACTCACTGCACTCTATATTATCTAACTATCGACCTTGTAAATAAAATTTTACATATTATCTGAGATTAATTCTATCTTTTTTACTTGTTACTTGTTTTGAAAAGTGTTGGTACTAAGCATCGTGAGTAGGGTTTAGTTCTAAAGTTTATGGCTGGCTGGATTCAACATAGAACTTGGCACCGAAGTGCAACAGTTCGAGTTGCCACATTCCAAATAGCACTCAAAGGTAGACAAGAAAATGAGTGAAGTGAATCAATAGAGTTTTGACAAGTATAAGAGTGAAACAGAATGAGTAATGGTAGAAAGGAATATGAAAGTTAAAGAGACGGAATACATCTGCGCCATTGACAACGATTTTGAGCCATGTCACCTATTGTCTCCAGCCATTGATTCTTAGAGTCCCGAGGGCGGGCCCCAACCCGGAAGTCTGCATCTCCCTACCTGACTCAGTTTAACTGTCAGGGATTTCATGGATTGATGAGGCCATGTTTTTGTTTGGCCACCACTTTTTTCCAACCTGCGTCGGTGGCACAGTGGTTAGGACTCTCGCCGACCATGCACATGGTCCGGGGTTCGATCCCCTGCCGGCGCACACCCGATATCTATGGTCGGCCTGAATTTGGGCTACCGATATCCAAGCTTAAAATTCCACACTTGTACTGAAAATACGGTGTGGAATCAAGCTGTAAATCATAATAAAAAAATAAAATATCAGCTAGTAATGCCCGTCGGGAGGGGAAGCGATGGTTAGGCATGCGCAGCACGTGACCTAGCTATCTCAGTCTATGTAACTTTATAGCCTCGTCGATTGATTTTCCCTCTTTGCCCAACGCTCTACGCCTAACGTCAGCATTACTTACCTTATTATACCACCTAACGCGAGAAAGAGATCGTAAACATCTGTGGTGCCCATAGCTTACATCACTAATCGATCTCTACGGAGAAGTCATTAACTGTCAAAGACTTCTGTCTAGCTGTTTAGGTTTTAACAGGACTACCAGAGATGCTTCATTTGTCGTAACTTGGACAATCAGGTTTTAAGGTATGCACACTGTCACCCTATCCCAGTTTACGCCGTCTGTGGCTTAGTAGTCTTGATAGGCAGCTGGTTGTTGACCAAAGGACGTGTGCAGTGCTCAACAGCATTTCACTCTGTCCTCCTTTACAGCTGTAAGACATGGCTATTGAAAGTGGAAGACATGAAAATGCTAGCTAGGTGTCTTTGATCATAGGTGTCTGCGTTCTATCTCTCCGGTGAAGTGGTATAGTAGGTGAGTAATACACTGAGGTTAGGCATCAGTCGAGTACTAGGTAAGGAGGGGGAATCAGTCGACGACGCTGTGAAGTTACATCAATTGAAATGGTTGGGACATGTCTTATGTATGTTTAGCCATCGACTTCCTCGACCGACAGGCAACGCTAGCTGATATAGGGTCAGGCTGTAAAAGAGATAGCGGTGGTCGAACCGGAACATGGCTTCATCAGTCAATGAAATCCACAACAGTTAGTTTAGGCCAGCCAGTCACGTAGGGACGGAGGTGTAGACTTCCTGGTTGGGGTCCACGGGACGATAAAGACCATTTGATGGAAACAATCGGTGATATGGCTCAAAATCGTTCTCAATGACTGGTGCAGATGGATCCACTCCTCGTGGTTTGTAATATCCAATAAAAGTATACTGTTCTGCGAGATTATTACTCTTTTTGTCTCATATCCCTGTTTATTGTCTGTATTTTGCATTTATTTTTACTTTCTTCTCTGGCTTTGTGTACTGAGTGAAGTGTGGCGACTCGAACTGGTGCACATCGGTTCAAAGTTCTATGTTGAAAACAGACAGACACTGTCATCCTCGTGTGGTTATCAGCATGTAGGTAATTGTTGCCAGGCAACTTTGTTGATCTCATCACTCTACTCTAGGACCTTCAGAAGTTCATATTAATCTAGTCTCATATAAATACTCGGTAGTTAATCGTAAGCAAACGTGAATAATGGGGTGTGAGAAGTTTTCACTGTGTTTTACTGCCCTATTCCTAGACAATGAGGTATTACAATAGTAATTTTTTCTTAACAATTAACGCTTGTAGCTCGACCGAATTCTGGCCACTTGATTTTCTATCACATCGAGACGTTAAGTCATTATTTCATCAGATAAAAATATGTTATAATTATAATAATAATTTATATTTCGTATAAACTGGCGTTTACAAGAAACGCATGCCATTTTTACAAGCACGATCATTTAGGTTGTAAATTACAATCGTGAAGTATCATGAATTAATACATTTTCAAAAATTTAAATTGTCCGATTATTTTACAAGCAGTCAGAACAGGTTCTTATAAATGTTAAATTGTAAACCCTTCACTAAAGTCACCACCAAAGTTGAGCGATAACCCAAACTTCCTTCCGTTTCCTGCTGATAGTTATGGTCAACCAGTGAACAGCGTATATCTGAGGGAGTGCTATGCCACCACGTGATTGAAAGCTATTTCAGGAAGAGGAGAACGTCCTGGGAAACTGCAAAATGGCATAAAATACAATTATAGATAATACATCATTGAAAGTACATTTACAAGATATATACAAGAAGGAAGCGGAAACTCTTTGGAACGATAGTATACATTTGCAATGTTTAATGCTAAACATATTGGTCTTAGCATAGAAACTATGACGTTTTCGATGAAAATATAGCTTTGTTCAAACATTGGTATTGTTGTGTTTTTAATCAAAGCAACCAGAATTTAAGCAAGCAACAAATATGAACAAAGAGTAAGTTTTAGCTTTAATAAACGTCTATGTAATTAAGATAAAATAGAGTATAATAGTGGGTAAATAAAAAGATTATCGTGAGGTAGATAAGTGATATTTAAGTGAGAAGGGAGTTCAAAGATCTGGAAGATTAGAACCCGTAGGACGACCTGACCTGTAAGATGTCTCAGGAATTTCTGTAGAGCCCATGGGATAGCATCTTGACAAGAAGCTGAACTAAGATTGTTTTCTGTAGTTAAAACAGTTCATCGATGGTGTAAAGTCTGGTCCAAATTCAGTGATCTTTAAAACTCCAAGCATTGAGTATATGATATTGATCATTTGTATTTTCCAATAATTTGGAAGCGAAATGATACTGGGAAGTGCAATACTATAGTAGTGTCTTTCAAACTTCTGTCGCTTATCATTTTTATGTGATGGTAAAAATAAAACACAATTCTGCCGGTATGTGCTCATCAACTGCTTAAGTAACTTAGTCAAGCCCCTTCTTGCCAGTACTAGGACTGGCAAACTCCACGGGTAGTTTTCGGGTGGTCTCGAATACCATTCCCACCTCTGCACATTGAGCACTAATTTTGTTTGATATTCACATATCGATCATTATTGTTGGTAGGAATCCTGTCCAGTGAGTGGAGCTAGAGTGAGATGTTAATACTGGCTTTGGTTGTCTAGGGAAACGTTCTATTCTTTATCAGCTTGATGGTGGTATGCTGTCCAGTGGATCTGTGTGATCATAGAAACTTCAATAAGTTGTTACGAAAGTCTGATTCGAATAGATCTCCTCTATCAGTGTTCGTTTTTGTAGGTACACCGAATATAGCTACCTGGTGTTGAAGGAGAGTTTTCCGTTCCGGCTGCAATGTCAGTAAGTGCTGTGGATAAAGGGAACTTGGTGAACCTATTAGTTCATGTGAACAGGCAAGTCAGCCAAATAAGTTTTAAAAAGAGATCTACTAAGTCCACATGAACACTGGTGAGATGAGCATCTGGCTGTGGAAAATGTTCCTAGGGGTGACATTTGCTGTCTGCTTACTTTCGCCCTCTGCCGTGATATACACTCTCACTTCTGCACGTCACGTTGTAGCTTTGGCCAAATATATCTTGCCGGGATTACTGTAGCTGAAGCGTTTGCCTCAGGATGTGATACTGAGTGAAAATTGCCAAATACTGCTTTTCTTATAAACTTAGGGAGGGAATGCTTGAGTGAATCTTTCGTTGTGAGACAGCATATCAGACTGCCATCTACAGGGGTTGCTAACTGGATGAGTTTGAGGTTGGAGTTGTTTTCAGTGTTCTTAGTTCTTTTGTTTTTCGGCCAGTGATTTCAAGTCAGCAGTATTTCATAGCACCTTATTAACGTGTATTCTAGACAGCGTGTTATCCACACAGTTCTCCATCCCCTCCGCATGTCTTATACTACTTGTAAACTATGATATGAAATAAAGGTGACGAATTTTGTTCAGTTACCTTTTGTCTCTTCTCATGTTCAGTGCGCAAGTGGACGGCTTATGATCTGTGTAGATTGTGAATGGTCTGCTTTATGCTATGTAGCGGAATTGTTTATCGGTTAGGTAGTATCCTAGCAACTCTCTTCTTTGCAAGATTAAGGCGTATATAAAGTAATGTGGTCAGTTACCAGGTATTGGTAACCAGGTGATTTAGGGCTGTTTCTACAGCCTTGTTGGGTGTATCCAACATTAACGAAAGGGGAGCCACTGTATCAGGATATTTTAGGGTTGTGGCTGTGGTCGAAGCAGCACTCAGTTGCGCGTTCACATCAGACTCCTCTTTTGATAACTGAAAGTCTTTTGGTTTTCCCCTTAATGCATCAGTCAGTTGCCACCTGTAGATGTTTTCCGCCAAGACGTCGCTATCATGGTTTTTGGCTGCCTGCAAAGTGACAGAGGACTTTGATTCTCCTGGCTTGGCCACCACTTTTGGTAGGAAACTGAGTGCATCTCATTAACCAGTACAGAAGTCTATATCATGGTTGTCATCTCCAGCATTGAATAAACTGCCTTTCGTGCTTTCTTCACTTGTCACTCTCTGTGAATCGCTTAATAGTTTCGCAGCTGCTTGCGGAGTGGTTTTGGCCAGGCACAAAAGTGTGTTCATCCCTTTGATCTTGCACCAAATCGCCTGTGATATCAATAGAATTTTTCCGCTCACCTGTTTTGCCTGGGCCTGCTTCTTGGCAATATGTAGAAGACGCAGACTTGGTAAAAGAATGTTTATCTGGAATATGGTATCTCTATATAGCTAAATTATGTACACCTTATCTTCATATCACCGTTTGCGCAGATCTTCCGTGTTGCGCTACTTCTCACCTTCATATTGTGTTTCTTTGTGTTCCTTTCACATCTCCCATGTATCTGTCTCCTCTACGCTGTATCATTTGATTTCTCCGACATCATATCTAACTCCCTGCTATTTGATGTTTTTATGCCGATGAGCGCCTTTTCATATACTACTGATAAATTTTATCAGTAGCACACGCCACAATATGGCGTTGTCTACTGGGCAATTTACCACGACTACTCACTTTTAGCTGTATTTGTGCCACTGTATCTGTTAGTGAGATTACTGGGTACTTGTATAGTTCACTTACAATTCTGCGAGTTATCTCGTTCCCATAAATATCCCATGCCTATTTATCATATCCCAGGAGGGGTTGCAACCATCCCTGCTTTAGTAAGAGAGATGTGATGAGGACCCATCTTCCATGGTATCCGTCTGAAAAAAATGCTGACTTTCAGACATCGAAAGGTGGTTAATCAACTCTCGCTGAAGCATAGTGTATGGCTCTGATTTAAGGATGAAGGAAGTGTGAAGATCCACAACACGATCACGCGGAACAAGATTCGAAAATTCAACACTAATATCAAATCAGTCAGTGCTTTTTATGAACCGAAGCCCTGCTTTCCACCACTAACAAGGGGGGATTGTTATAACCACAAATAACCTCACCTAGTTAACTACCTCGCTAGTTTTCTAGCCGGTCCCAAGCCCGGGTAAAGAGGGAGGGTTTGGCGTGGGACTAGCAACCCAACACTACAAAATCTTTCGAAACGATAAAGAAACTTCAACACAGAGAAAATATATTAAAAACAGAAAAGCTTCAAATAACAACAATCTTATTCTTCGCTCGAATTGGAGAGGCGAAATGACACAGGGGGTTGATGAAAGCCAGCCTTCGTGAAGAGTAAGCTAGTCGATGTGTCTTCTCCCGATGAAAGTAAGAATAAGAATGGGGAGGTGGAATATCCGTACAATGTAAGAGACTGGGAAGGTTGCCCGGGTAATTAAACAAATGAGAAGATATGACATAGAAGTGCTGTATATCTGCAAAAGTCAGTAATCTACTCCTGTCACCCAGACGACAACCACGAACACACTGAGGCAATGAGTGGCTATTATGGTGTCACCAGTCGCAGCCAGAGCCATAATGCAGTGGGAACCAATTTCATTCAAGATCATAACAGCAAGATTCAACTGCAAAGGAAGGAAGGTAGCAAATATCCAGTGCTACGCACAGTGCTACAAGCAACGCGGAACAGGAAAAGAAGGAGGATTTTTACAGACAACTACAAGAAGTAATGGACAACACCCCAAATGGAAACATCAAAATGCTCATGGGTGATATGAATGCCAAACTGGGATGTTCTAACTCCATGACTGAAAAAGTTTGGAAAGAAGGAAAGGTGCCTACTGATTTGAAGAAGGGCTACCTTGTCAAAATACAAAAGAAGGGCGACTTAAGCCTGTGCAATAACTGGCGTGGAATAATCCTCTTGTCCATGCCAAGTAAAATACTAAGTCGCACCCTCCTGGAGAGAATAAAGGATGCACTGGATGCAGAACTGTGTCAGCTAGGACAAGCTGAATTCAGGAAAGGCAAATCATGTGCTGATCAAACTGTAACTCTACGCATCGTCACCAAACAAAGCATAGAATGGCAGTCAAACTTCAACTTCATCAACTTCGAAAAGGCCTGCGACACAGCGTTGACCGAGAAGTAATTTGGAAACTACTTCAACACTACGGCGTAACTCAATTCTTTGTCAACCTCATTCAACAGCTGGCTGGCAATATGACAGTGCCTGCCACGTGTCAGTCAGGTGATCCACAACGGAAAACTCACTCAGGAAGGCGTTCGAAGTGCATACAGAAGTAAGACAAGGCTGCCTATTATCACCAACGATGATATTCTTAATTGTGGTGGACTGGATTATGCGTCAGACTGTGAGTTGGGAGCGAGGAGTCAGGAATACGCTGGACGACCGATAAGAAGACTCTAGAAGATCTGGATTTCGCAGGTGATATATGTCTAATGTCACACAAACTCGAAGACTTGCAGGTGAATACCAACAAACTCTCTGGAGAAGCAGGCGATGAAGACAGGACTGCAGATGTACACAGAGAAGACGGAGGTGATGAAAATAACCAACCAACAGCAACATCAACAACAACAACCAGCACCAATCACCATCAACGAGAGAGATTTATCAGAGGTTGCCTCCTACACTTATCTGGGAAGCATCTATCCATTTCTTTTATTTTTCGCTCGCTGTTATTCTCATGTGGCTTTATATTACACTGATTATAACAAAACTGTCTCAATGTAGGAAAATTCCTAATGAACAACGCCACCAAAAATTAATGCAAAATCAGGGGAGAGTTTTGGTACTTAGTGATTAAGGTCAACCTGTATTTTTAACAACAACAATATTACATCAACAATAAATACGGTTCACTGACAAACATAAATATGCTTCAGTGCACGGTTGGACGATTTGCATAGCATCCGTTTGATTATTTTAGTTATACACGGAGAAAATTTGTCCACCAGAAGTGTAATGACTAGATCTATCAGGTAAATATTGACAGAATGTATTGCGGTCGTGACAATAGTTGAATTACTGAGCTAGAAAACCTACTGGAAATTTGTTTTACTGCATCACTACTCTGGTAACTTTCCCACATAACAATTTCGACTTTAGCGTCATACTCAGGTAATGAATATTTATCGTACTTACATCTCATATTCTCTACATTATTTCGTTTTCATTGTCTACGAATTGATTCGGGTTTTTGTTTCACATCATGGGGTGTTTGTTGAAGCTGTTTCTTTTCTGAATTCTGGTAACATTTTCAACATTTGATGTCAACATTGATGTCTGAATTGTCTGATGTATGGATGAAAAAAATTCTCTAGCTATTTTTTTCAACTCCTGGTTTAGTTATAATATACTCGAGTGCACTGATCAGTGAACTCCATGCTTTTGCTAGCTTGAATATTCATGCATACATTTGGTAGGATGTGTTGTTTTCGGAGAATTTTTAACGGGTCAAGCGTTTAACTCACGCTTTAAAGAACGAATTCACTAAAGTGAATAGGTATACCTCTTCATACGTATGATCCGGTAATGGAGTTTTAGTGATAGGTACCTAACACAGGTTTTCACTCACTTTTTCCCACGTTCTCTGTTTAATCTCCAAAATAATCTAGTTTCTCCCTCTTTTTCTGCATGTTTAAAGGAATGCATGCCACCCAACTGTACTCACACTCACTGAAGAATCCTCCGGCTGCAGCCATAGGTGCATTTGCCATGCGATTCAAAATCGTATATAACTCAAAACACTCAAACCAAGAACACTGTGATATCCCCCCGAGCAGCCTTAAAAGAGTCGCTCATCAAAGATCGGAAGTATGGAATTTCTCATGTAAGAAGTTGACTGCCCATTCAGCCTACTTGCCCTACTTTCCATTTATTTCACCTATCCATTCGCTCGATTCTGTATCCATTAGGTTAGTAAAACCTTCCTCCGCATGTGTGTGCCAGCCTATCTGAAGAACTGCTTAATCAAACGAAATTCACTACTATCAGAAGCCCCTTTTCCATGTTTGTTACAAGTTGAACTTATGTACCTTCATTTTATTGCTCCCAACAAAGCTGCAGAAGTCGATAAGAAATCCATCAAAATAGAGCCGTTCCAGAATAAAAGTTAGGAGTATCAAGAAATTTTTGGGTCTATATAAGCTTGTCAAAAGGATACTGGATGCTGGAAAGCATATTCAGATTTATTGGTTGAAGATAGAGGGCTTGGAGCCTATGTTAATCCTTTTCTAGTAAATTTCTATGGTTTTCCAAACTGTTCTGGAATGAATCATTTGAGGTTGAAGACACCACTTCTTCTGGGAGTCGGTTCCAAGAGTTTATGACTCTTTGTGAGAAAAAGTACTCAACAGCAACATGATTTCTTCTTGGCTTTTGAACTTTCCTGCTATGTCCTCTATGGTGTTGTGACCTGTTGGGGAGGGAGAGAGAGAATAAGTCAGGTCCGTAGCCATTATTTAAAACTTTAAGCATTGTGATTAAATCTCCTCTCTGCCTACGGTATGACAGGGAGAAGAGATTTAAACTGTCTAGTCTTTACTCGTATGACAAGTTAGTCATGCCGAGAACTATAAGTGTTGCCTTCCTTTGAAATCTTTCTAGAATGTCTGAGTCCCCTTTAAGACAAGAACTGGCTGCCTGGATACAGTTTTCTAGTCTTGACCTGACCAGAGATGTATATAAGGAGGTGAAAGACATATATCTATATCGGAACCTATATCAGTGCAATAGTGTACTTTGTCATTTGGAGTTGAGTTAGCTCTTTGGCTTGGGCACTAACCAACAATACTTTATGGGTATTCTGAGGATTAGTCTAAAATTGTTTTCTATAGTTATTTCAGCCTTACAGTGGATATTATAAGTACTGCACTGGGTTATTCGAATTCTTAAAGCTTATGCATTCTTGGTTTTTGTTTTTAGTAATTATCTATATATGTATAGTAGTGGTGAGAACACGGGGAATGTGCTGTCTGTTTCATTGCATATCTTAAAGTCTTGATGCAGCTGTTACTTTCAGTAATACTACAAACTCACACTTATCTCACGTTTCCAAATAACAGTCATCCACCTTTGTCTACATATTTCATGTAAGTTAACAAATCGACCCAGTATTTTCTGTTTGTCCCACTTTTTGAAAGGGATTTATCTCACTTTATGTCTCACTTTTCCCATATTTACGAGAAAACTCTCTTACTGGAAAGAGTTCTTGATGAATTCTAACTCTCTTCCGCCTGTTGACTTTTGTTTTTATCTTTTAATTTTTGGGACTAAAAGTCATAAATGCGAAAGTAATTTGAAACTCACATATGTGACCAACTGCTTTTAACATAACAGTATGCTTTTGTAAAATAATTGTAAATTTTATATCCCTTGTTTGAAAGTAATCTAACTCTAAAAAGTAAAATAAAATTCCAGTTGAGAATGTGAACGTACGAAGTGATTAATAAACTAAAACCAAAGCCATACAACAAAGTTTATGGTAGGTATTTGCAGTGGTCAAACAAGTCTCTTTCAAAGTCAAAAGTTCCAGCTTTTCCATGCATGTATCATGGAGTGTTGCAGAGCAAAGAAGTCGGAAGCTCAGTGCCTTCTGTATGTTTCTTGTTGACCTGTAAACGACTCTAAATGACGAGTCAGTTGAATTATTGTGACAGGTACTGACTGACAACGAGCCGGGTTAAAGCACTTCTAACTAAGCCAAATTCATCTCTTTGCAGCTATGCTGGGTAGTGTTCTCTAACTCATTTTGAAAATACACACAGAACAACCTAAATTGCTGATTTCTACAGGAGTAGGTAAACTCATATACATACATTAAAATAGTTGTATCCTAGGCGTTGTCCTTCATGTTGTGTAAAAGCAATGAACAGCTGTTGAGAGAATGGCAGCAAAAAAGTTGTCTTTTGAAAGTTAGAGGTTCTTCTTTTGAAGATATCTTCAGTCAAGTTCACCTTGAATTCAAGGTTAATCTAAAGTACTTTAGGCGTAGAAGAATTAAAGAAACAGTATAAAAGCATATGGAAACTTTACTGTGCATCGAAACAGAAAATCTTAAGCGGTACTTATTGTTTTCCACGAAAGCTGCATTGCAATATCAGTTTGTAGGATTTAAATGTTTTTGAATGTTGTCTAACGAAGGCTGGCAGGATACACCAACATCTTATACTCTTATGTTGTGGCTAGCTAGTTTCTGTGCCATATTCGCTTTTAAATAAATGTTTTCCCCGTTCACCCTTTTTGGGTGTTTGTACATATGAAACTCGATTTCTTCTAAATCGACTTCTCAAGGGGTAAATTTTGTGGTGGGAAATACCCTAGTATGGCTTTAGGGTACTGGATCATATACACACATGGCATCAGTCAATGAAATCCACAACAATTAGTTTAAGCCTGCCAGTCACGTAGGAAGGTGTAGACTTCCTGACTGGTTGGGTCCTTGGGACGGTAAAAAAACAATGAAGGCTCGAGGCAATTAAATATATGGATCAAACTCATCGTTGTCAATGGCTGCCGCAGATGCATCCACTCCTTGTGACTTATAATATCCAATAAAACTATATGGTTCCTCCATATTACTATTCTTTTTTGCCTCATATCTCTGTTTATTGTCTCTATTTTGCCTTTCTTTTTACTTTTTTCTCTTGCTTTGTGTGCTGAGTGAAGTGTGGCGACTTGAACTGTTGCTCATTGGTACAAATTTCTATGTTGAAACCCAGTCAGTCAGTCAAAGGATCACATACTACTTTCAAACAAATATAGTGATAGTACTTAGAATCTTTTTTGAAAAATCCCAGGAACAGTGAAATGATGTGAATCGTGTTCACCTTTTCATGAAAATATTTGCTTGGCAATCAGTCTTCTGAAATATCGTGGCGATAAATATATAGAGAAGTGATTGAGTTAGAGGATCATATAAGTAGCGTTGAAAGTTGCTTCAAACACTTAGGTCGGTAATTGATTGAAGCTGTGAAGTTTTATAATGAATACCCATGTAGAGAATAATAAGATGTGTAGTTCACCAGCATTAAAAGTTCTTTGAACCGATTTTCTTAATTTCTTCGTAATTATCTCACTTGGTATAAAATACTAAATGGTTGAAATATTGTGAGATTTCGTCATGAACTAACATCAGTCAGAGAGATCAATTGGAAGCCAAGGAGCTCTAGGAAGCTGTTTCTTCGGTCTAGTTTATGACTCTCCGCTGGTGCGTACCCACGACCGCAACAGGGATCAAGCCGGGGACCTTCAGATAATGTGACCAAGCTCGTTGAGCATTTAACCATTTGGGTCGGGATTCAATGACGCGTGAATTTCAACTTTGTCAACTCGTCAATATATAGCTGCCATCACCCGCTCCTCCTTGGCATGGTGAAACCCACCAGTCATGACTTGTCGCCATCAGTGAGGTGGAGACTGATTGAGATATATTGGGTGGCAGGGGGGTGGTTGGCTTAATTTCAATGAATAGATTTCGTCAGGAAATTTGAGATTTTACGGAAAGTTTTGTTGAGTACAATTTCTTATGCAATAGTGTGGTGAGAGCTGGCTGCTAGCCAAAGTTGGTAGACAGTAATTGACGTCAATGTTTATGTCCCCAATATTGGTGGTGAGAAAATGAGAACAAAGGCTTTGCGTAGGCGGATACAGTTAGCATATGGATGATCTGACACAGCCAGCCACAAAGAGATGCAAGGTTAACTTTCTGTGAGAAACAACCAATCAGAAGACTGTGTTTTTCTACTAACAATAATCTACAATAATGTACATTAAAATCTATAAATATGTGTTGATTTTCCTTAATAAACGATCTGTTGCCTGGCCCTTGTCTTCTGTTGTTACCAATAGTACTGGCTTCTGATAGCATAATCTGTTGCTCTTTCTTGTTTTTATCTTATTAGCAGATGGATCCTACTGACTCGAATGGCAATTGTCAATTGAATATCACTTCGCCGATACCTTCTACACGTCAACGTTATGGTTTATATTTACCACCGCCTACTCCATCGCCGCCTGAGTTAACTCCTTTAACTAGTCCAATAATAACTAATAGTTCAACACCTACTACACTGGTCGATTCTAAACAAAATACTCTTACAATAACGCAAGAAAGACGTGAAACACCTGAGGGTTTTGTACTGCCTTATAATACAGAGAATACTACAAGTCGAACAAACTCATCAAGTGAAGCAGAGGTATTTTAATTAAATTTATATATTATTATTATTATTGTTCCCTTGGGTTCCTAGTGGAACATAGGGCTTCAACTGCACGTCTCCACTTGTTTCTGTCTTCTGCTGTACTTTTCACTTGCATCCATGTTAGTCCATACTGTTTCAACTCTTCTTCACACGATCTCCTCCATGTCACCCTTGGACGTCCCACTCGCCGCTTCCCTTTCGGGTTCCACTCGAGCTGGCCTGACGCGCGATGTCACCCAGCGGCCTCCTCAGCGAGTGTCCAATCCATCTCCACTTTCTCCTGCATATTTGTTGAGCGATTGATTCTTGTTTTGTTTGTTCCCATAGTTTCTTGTTGATGATTCTTTCCGGCCATCTGATCTTGAGTATAGAGCGAAGACAGTGTTGTTGATAAAGGTCTGCAACAGGCTGTTGGAAATATTCTTTGTGACCCGCCCAATTTTGCTGATCCGTATAGAAGAGCAACTCAACTGTGCACTTCGGTGCCAAGTTCTATGTTGAATCCAGAATAGAAGAACTGACTGACTTGACGTTTGTATTGAAAATCCGAATTTTGTTGTTGATGCAGGCTGAGTGACGAAGATTTCCAGATTGGTTTCAGGTTGATGAATGTGTTTCTCGCCTTTCCGATTCTCGATTTGACATCGTCGTCCGTTCCTCCTGTAGTTGAGACAATGCTCCCTAGATAAGTGAATGAAGTAACCTCTTTCAAATCCCTCCCGTTGTTGGTGATTGGCGGTGGATGTTGCTGTTGTTGTTGGTTGGTTGGTTATTTTCATAACCTCCGTCTTGTCTATGTTCACCTGGAGTCCTGTCTTCTCTGGCTGCTTCTTCGACCAGTTTGTCGGTTTTCGCTTGTAAGTCTTCGATTTTGTGTGACATCAAACATAAATCATCCGCGAAATCCAGGTCTTCTAGGTTCTTCACATATATATATATATATATTATATATATATATAACAGTAAGGTACAGCAGGTTGGGTGTGAGGACAAATACTCGCCATCGATGACATTGGCTAGTGCCAGTCGCACTGTATCGTAAATTGGTAGAAGTTGGAGTTCATGGGCTAGCCATTGGATCCGGTTGCAGTGGCTTAATGGTCTACGAGCTCACCTTGTAACCAGAAGGTCCTGGGTTCGAACCCTCTGTGATGTGGGTTCACACTGATGAAGAGTCCGAAACTAGGCTGACATAATAGCTGTCCAGTACTCTTCCCTGCCTGGTGGTTTCCAATGGTTTTATAACCGATATCAGCTGGTGATGAAGTCTTGTAACCAATCAATCAAATTCCTGCAGACCAACTCTTGAACATAAGATGTTTGTCGAGGATATCCCACCTAGTTTTGAGTGCAAAGGAAAACGTAAAGGTATTAATTCATCTATATTGAAAAATGTAGTAGATACTGACCAGGCAGATTATGAAGCACCCCTTAACATTATCCACAAGGTTCGACAAAGTTTGCCGAAAAAAACAGACACGAGTGTATTTACTACTTTGTATAGTGGAAGCTATGGCAATGATAGTAGTGATAATAATGATAATATTAATGACGACACCAAAAATAAGGAATCTAAATCATCAGTAGTAATTCCATACAAAGAAGGAACCTCGGAAACCTTACACAGAATTCTTAACAAGGCAGGAATAAAAGTGACTGGCATTCAAACCCACAAACTCAATTAGAAACAAACTTTGACGTTTAAACGATCCTGTGGAGCCTTTAAAACAAAACAATTTAGGTTATCTAATACCCTGCTGGAATGACTGTCAGGTCAAATACATAGGTTAAACTAGTAGAACAGGGGCAGTCAGACTAGCTGAACATAAAAACTTAGCAAAATCTAGATTGGTTGATCCAAATAAGATAAGAAATCTAGAGAATAGTTCAGCTATAGCACACACTACATGCAATTACACACAACCATACAATAGGCTGGATGGGATAAGATGACAGTTTCAAAATCTAATCAACTAACATGGTGGAGGGAGAGATTGATAACAGAAGCTTTGTTTATCGAATCAACTGAGAGTGAATACGTGTAATAGGAATGATTCAACACCTGTCCACCCAGATATCTGGAAAATTCTACTACCCCAACGACGACAAATAGGAGAGAACAAAGAAAACTATAAAACTCAAGTTTCGAAGTTGTGTGATTATAATTGATGAAATGATTATGAACAATGAATAAATTATGTTCGAAACGTCATCTAGTTAATAATACTATTTCACAGACTGTGTGATATATCTAATAAACAAACTAATATGGAATTACTTACTACCACAGTGCCCAAGTTTTACACATATATTAGTATGCCTTAAAGCCAAAACTTTGTGTACAAGGAGAGATAGAGAGAGAGAGAGGGGGGAGAAGCAATTTCGTCACCAACCGACATCGAATATTACTACAAGAAGTCTATGCTGAGACTTGCAAGACTCGCCAGATAAGACGTAAGGTGGCTTGCTAATCAACTACATTATATGGTATTGACGCACTGCATACCGAAGTGGCGAAACTTTGAAGTCTTGCAACATCAGATACTATCTGATTCTGTTGTTGAACGAAAACATGTTCTAATTCATGGATAATCCCCATCCAGTCATTAATGAAAACAAAAGACGTAGTTCAGTGAAGAGTCTCTTTTTGGCGGCGAATTCATTTTTTTAGCTGTGCAATTGCAAATATTTATGGGTTATTTTGTATGTATGTGTGTACATTAAGTTTGTCAAACAAAATTACAACTGATGGAATGATCACTGTTAACCAGGTGTTCAATTATCGCACTCTTCATTGCACCACTATTGCCTTTTCTCAACCATGCTGGGTAGTGTTCTTGAATCCTCTTGGACAGGGTACGTGTCGAACGACCGATGTACCTGGCTCCACAGCAGCAGGTGGACTGATATATGCACATAGAAGTGGTCAGATGCGGGGTCTTGTCCTTGAGGCTTCTGCAGATCAGTGGGCGACTGGAGAACACGATTCTTAGCGTTGCTGCAAAGAATTTTCTTCTCAGAGATGATGTGATCCTTCTCTTGAGAATATCGCTTGTTAAATCTCCCTTGAAATCCAAGTTCATGTAGAGTTTCTTTTTCGGTACAAGTGAAGTTCCATTTCTCCAAATTCTTGGTTTAATATTTTTGTCAATAAATCTTGGTGGGAATCCATTCTGCATGAAGATTTCTCTTAGAATATCTGATTCTGTCTCTATAACATCGGAGCTACAGATGCGCTGGATATGTTCGCCTTGGACCCTGTTACAGTTACATAGTATTCTAATTTTTGCTATTTCACCATATGTAACGCCACCGCTAGCCATTACCACCAGCGAGCATCTGTTCCCATATCCGACTTGATGTACTTCACTGGTCACAACGTCTCACTAAACCCAGGCAACCCCATACTACTGTGGTGATCAGCTACTTATGAGATTATACCTCAAATGAATGGGATTTAGAACATTGCAAATCAAATATTCCCTCCACACTTATTAATTCACGTCTCACCTCGACATTACTTACTTGGTGGTTATGTAACGGTAGAAGACAACAGACTTGATAACGAACTTTTTATATGAAGGAAAAACACACCATATTTATACATTTTTAGCCATAGTGAAGATTGGCTAAATCAGCGGATAATAAACTATTCTGATTGGTTGTCGATTTTCTGAAAGCTAAACCTTGGCACAAAAAGTTGTCCAATGAGATTATTTCTTGACCACATCGTAAACTAAATTCAGGTGTCTGTCTGTCTGCCTGTTTTCGACATAGAACTTTGAACTGATGTGCGGCAGTTCAAGTCGACACACTCCATGTACCACACAAAGCAAATGAAGAAAGTAGGAGAAATGCATATTAGAGACAGTAAACAGACGTGTGAGACAAAGGAATAGTAATAACGATGAACAAAACAGTTTCATTGGAAATCGTAAGTCACACGGAGTGGATGCATCTGCACCAGCCATTGAGAACGATTTTGAGCCATGTCACCAGTTGTCTCCAGCCATTGGTTTTTACCCTCCCGAGGACCCCAACCAGTCAGGAAGTCTGCACCTTCCTACGTGGCTTAAACCAACTGATATGGAATTTATTGACTGGTGCCATGTTTTCGTTTGTACGCCGCTAGCTCTTTTCCAGCCTGACCCTATGCCGGTCAGCTAACATTGCCCGTCAGTCGAGGAAGGCGATGACTAGGCATGTGTACGTAACACATGTGCTAACCATCTCAGTCGATGTATTTTCACAGTCTCGTCAACTGATTTCCCCTCCTTACCTAGCACTCGACGCCTAACCTCAATATTGCTCACCTTATTATACCACTTCACGCGGGAGATAGAACGCAGACACCTATGATCGAAGACAGCTAATCTTTTCATGTCTTCCACTCTCAATGGCCAGGTATCACTCACAGCCATAAAGGAGGACGGAGCGGACTGATGAGCAGTACACACACCCTTTCGTCGATAGTTGGATATCACGTCTACTGAGCCAGAGACGGCGTAAGCTGGCATATGCGAACCTAGCCCTCTGTATTCGTGCTGAGATTTCGTCAGGTGTAAAGAATAAACACTTCTACCTCTGTAACCAGCTATTGACTTAAAATGTTGTTTTCAACTTTGGCTGTTTTCTATCAATCTGCATCTATATACTACTGATAAATCTTGTCAGTAGCACACGTAACAGTTGAACCATGTGTGAATAATGTTGTGGAAACATTTATAGAAAAAAATACGTGTAATCTATATTGTTCTTCTACTTTTAATTTCCGGATAAAAGTAAAACATTCTACTGAGGAATAAGTACACTCATCTTTTAAAAGTTTAGTTGCCAATTATGTGTTAGTCATCTTCAGACTGGAATTGTCTTATATATATATATATATATATATTTTAAGGCGTTGGTTTTTGTATCCTAGACGGATCGATAGGCATCATGAGTCACTTATGCGAATATGGGTATTTAAGCTAAGGAAATTATCGAAATACTCCTAAGTTAAAAAAAAGCACATTTAAAAACTTGAACAAAGCAAGAACAACAATTGTACCAGGATAATATGAGCTCATCTTTTATTATTATTTCGAGGATTCTTCTCAACTGGTTACAACCTGAACGATAAAAAAATATGAATTACATTACATTAAAGATTTGAACATACTTTTCCACGATCATAAGGAGTAAGTAATTGGTAGGAAGTAAAAGTAACATTAGTCCGGAATGATTTAACTAATTAAGAGTTACAAACACTGACTATTTATAGAATAATTAGACAATTAGGCTTGGAAACAAAAAACAGAGTTGCGTATATATGTGTGTGTATAGAAACAAGGTATAGCTAGAAAGAGCATAACAAAAAAGTAGATTCAAGTGTTGGTTTGTAGGCATTTGATTGGTTACAGGATTTTCATCATGAGCTGACATTAGTTAGAGAACCATTGGAAAACCTGGGAGTACTGGACAGCTGTTTCGTCCTAGTTTGTGACTCTTCATCAGTGTGCACCCACCGGGATTCGAACCCAGGACCTTCTGGTTACAAGGCGAGCTCGTATACCATTAAGCCTTTGGGACCCGATTACGTAACTAAAGAAAATGTTTTATCTAATAGCCAATAGAAAAAAAGAAAAGAACAAGGTAGGGTGAGTCATGTTTAGATAAGAGAGTAGAGTTTCCTAAACAAGAAAAAGGGTGACTCATAAAAGTTGTATATTTTTTGTTATCACCAGGGCAGTGCAAGATTCACCACTGTCTCTTTCTGCGTACATAGATTTGGTTTAAGTCGTTTGATAGCAATTGCTTCAGCAAAGCGTAGCAAGCTAGGTTTTTTTTGCTTGTTGATTAATTTGAACGACTTCAGGTTGTTTGCAATATGACCAGTGTCCAATAGATGAAGCGCAATCGCACTGTTTAATGCTTGTGGACCTTTCAGTTTCAGGTTCTTTGGTATGTGTTCAAAAATGCGGACAGTAAATAACCCTTCTCTCTGTTCTTCCGATGTATGTGCTTTGGCACGTACATGTAAATTGGTAGACACAGTTGGAGGTAACATGAGGTGGGTATTTGTCCACTTTTGATTGTCTCAAACAACTAGTTGTTTGATAAACACATACAAGCTTGGCGGCTGGATATGTTCTTTTCAGGGCAGCGTTCAGTCTGCCCTGTACGTCTGTAAATATGTCCCCTTAAAGTGATAACAATATATACTATTATTTATCCCTTTGCGTTCTTAATGAAACATATAGTTTTGAGTTTCTCTGACTTTTTAAGAGCAGCGGTTTTGTTTCTTTGTCGAGTGATGATGTTAGCGTCATTCGTCACCTTTCCTTCTTTCATGCACTTACTGCCACCTGGGCAGAGTTTAGTGGGACATCGGCCGGGAATTGAGCCTGGACCGCTTGCCAGCGTACACCTATTTTAGTCATAATGAAAGAATATAATTAAATCCAAGAATAAAAACTGCTCAACAACTGTGTTACCTATTTGTTTGAGTTTATTTTGTGTTTCCTACGGATTGATTATGGTCGATTGAAATTCTCAGTCTCTGTTGTTGACTTGTCGGCTCTTAGTGTGCGAAAGCTTCGAAGATAAACGAGGATCTAGATGATGTTATTTGGTGTATGGTGACTACTGATGGAATCCAGGATGCTCATTTCGTTCTATTTGGGACTCATAAGCTGGAGGTACCTAGAGTTCCTGTGGGTGTTACTGTCCTCCACTGAGACTCGAAACTAGCACTTATCGTTACAAATACCAAAGCATTATCATGGCCTAGTGGATACTGTCTTGGAATTGGAAATGTTGAGTGCTGGTTGCGGTCTCATTGGGAACACCACCAGTCCCACGAGAATGTAGGTACATTCAGCTGACGAGTCCCAAATAGGATTAGATACGCACCCTGGATTCCACCTCTAGACACTATCAGCCAGGATTCTTTTCACAGTATACATTTCTCAAAATCTATCTAGGATATTTTGAGATCAACAATGTTGTGTTTTTTCATTTTATTTGGCAGACGTCGTTTCTCTCACCTACTCCGAATAAATCGTATGTCTTAACAAAAACACTAACATCAGACAACAGTATAAGAAATGTCAAATCATCTATTGACTTGATGAAGGATATCAATGAGGAGAATTTATTGTCTCACAGATCAAAATGTTTCACTCCAGAGGTGCATATTTCACCACCTTTAGCCTCATCCAGTGTATCCAACTCAGTAAGTGGTATAACTTTAGGTTTTCTATCGTTTCTCATATATATTTCTCTACTACTATTAATTTTGTAAGTAGTTAATTCTTTTTCATAAAAATTAAGCTGGCGTAAATTTTGTAGGTGTTAAATATCATTAAAAATAAAACAATTCCAACAGTTAGTGTGATCACAGGCAGTAATTTTACTCGAAATATTAAAAAAACAAAATAAACTTATCATTGTGTGTAAAATTATTCCACACCGTATTTTTTGGTACAGGTATGGAATTTTCAGCATGCATTGTCGGTAGCCCAAATTTTGCAGACCGACCATAGATATCAGGTGTGCTTCGGCAGATGATCGAACCCCGGACCATTTGCATGATCGGCGAGATTCCTAACCGCTGTGCCACCGACGCACAAAATACTTTGATGGAAGTCAGCTCTTTCACTCACTTAGATAACATCTCTTCAGCTACAGGCAGTACAGACAAGGATTTCAAAGCCAACCAGGATGAGAAAATCAAAACGAACCTAAATTACTCTTACATCAGTGTGAAAATCTGCTGTATTCAGCGTAAGGAACAATACCAATGTCAATTTAGTGCTTCTATATGTTATAGAGACTTGACATGTATCACAATAAGCATTCCAAACGGGTTATTGTAAACCTTGATCAACAACTCCCTTCGCCCTACGCTGATGATTGAGTGGCCACGCAGAAAGTATGAGCAACAATGGGGATGCTATCGCTAAACCAACCAAAAAACTATCGCCCAACAAATATACATGAATAAATAGAGATGGATGGGACACACGTTGAGAAGACAGTTAAGAGACATCATGTACTAGACCATCGAGTGGAATCCGACTGAAAAGCAATGAGTTAGTTGGATGTCCTAGGATGATATGGAGGAGATCGTGTGAAGAAGAAATGAAAGCTCATGGTCTATTGTACAGTTAGTTAAAAAAGGTTGAGGAATACAGAGTGAAATTGAGATGTCCTGGTGAAGCCCAATGGTTTTACTTGGAACATAATAATAATAATAATATAGTCACATAACCTCATAGATGGTTCATTCACTACATAGTTCATGAGCATGTATTCTCACTTCAGACCCTTCCCTTAATGTCTCGTCATCGAAATTTTCGGAAATACATCTAGAAGAGAGTTTTCCCAAGGAACACGGCTCTATCATTCTTATTAATCTTGAAGGTTTCTGCGGTGATACACAATACACGAGTAGCTAAGATTTTGAATATACGCTCTAATAGATTTAGAGTCCTAATTTGTGTATGATATATGTCTGATTTCCCACAAACTGGAAGATATGCAAGCGAAAAGCAACAAGTTGGTAGAAGAAGCATCCAGTGAAGATAGGACTTCAGGTGAACATAGAGAAAACAGAGGTGATGAAGATTCCTGGGCAATACCACCACCAGCAGCAGCAACAACAGACAACAATCAGCATAAATGGGAGGAATCTGAAAGAAACAACCTCCTTTACCCACATACCTGGGAAGAATCGTTTCAAATACAGGCGAACGGAACTGTTGAGGATATCAAAGCAAGGATCGGGAAAGCAAGGCAAGCTTTCACTACTCTCAAGTCTGTGTGGAGGTCAACAGAACTACTCAGCATCAAAAATAAGATCCGGATTTTCAACTACAATGTGAAGTAAGTCAGTGCTACTATACGGATCAGAGACTTGGCGCGTCATAAAGAGCATCTCAAACAAACTACACACCTTCATTAACAGTTGTCTCCGCTCAATACTCAAGATCAGATGGTCGGCCAGAAAGGATCAGCAACAGGGATCTCTGGCAATGAGCGAACCAACCCAGCAGGAACCATGTGTGAAACAAATAGGCAGGAAGAAATGGAGATGGATTGGCTGGCCATACTCTGAGGAAGCAAACCATCAAGTGACATCACTAGACAAGCCATCGCTCGAGTGGAACCCGAAAGAGAAGCGGCGAGTCAGTTGGTCGTCAGTGCAAGGGTAACTTGGAGGAGGTCATGTGAAGAGGAGATGATGAATACGTGTGGGCAGACTTGGAGCCAGGTGAAGACTCTAGCAGAGAACCGAACGCAATGGAGACGCACGGCTGAAGCCCTATGTTCCTCTAGGAATTAAAGGAAACAGTAGTAAGTAATAATAAAGTTGTGTATTGCTGCTTGACTCATACGATCAGGTAAAGAAGTAAAGGTGTTTTCCGCAAAGTTTAATTCCCAATGTCTGATTGGCTAACATCGATCCTTAAAGTAAACGATTCTAAAACAGAAAAAGGTTTTTCAGCAACACTTTCAATTTTGTTTTTTATGTATATTATCTTTCCAGGTGAAAAATAACTCCATTAATGGAAAATTAGAATCTTCTAGTAAAAATCCTGCAAAATCAATCACTACTAGTGACTTTGATACAGTTCAAGAAAATCCTGATGTTCTCAAATGGGATTATGCTGGTGATTTAGCCTCAAATCGATTAGATATTTCAAGAATCAACTCACAATTGAATATTTCTTCTTCCTCTTGTTGTTCTTCTCGTCCAATCAATTTGCCTATTGATTATATCGATTATGATACAAGTGTTGCATTGACATGGCCATCTTCTGGTGTTCACCTTTCACCGCCATCAAGATATGGTTATCTATTGCACAGAAAGTGTAATTTCAATAGAACATTGAATCATAATAATTTGTGTAATTATTTTTTAAGAAAAAATCGATATGGTAAGTTTACATTTGCTAATTTTATGAATTATATAATTATGTAATCTTATGAAATGTATTATTATACTATTCTTATTACCTCCTTTAGTTCCTAGAGGAACATAAGGCTGTTATCGGTCACACGTCTCAGCCAACGTTTTCATCACCTGGCTCCACGTCTGCCCACATGCTTTCATTTCCTCTTCGCATCACCTCCTCCTCCTCTATGTCACCCTCGCACTGACCACTAACTCGCCGCTTCCCATTCGGGTTCCACTCGAGAGATAGAGCTTGGAGTGTGATGTCACTGGATGGTTTGTTTCCTCAGAGTATGGTCTCCAATCCACCTCCATTTCTTCAGTAGACAAGTAGATTAAATGACTACTCACGTTTTGGTTTGCAAGGATTTGAATGATTGGTTACACGACTTTCACCATGAGCTGACGTCGGTTAGAGAAACATTGGAGAGAGAGTTCTGGACATATCTGTTTCGTCAGCCCTAGTTCGGGACTCTTCAGCAGCACTAACCCACTGTGGGGTTCAGACCAGGGACCTTCCGGTTACAAGGTGAACTCATGAGCCATTAAGCCACTGGGACCCAATCCAATGGCCAGCCCATGAATTCCAACTTCTGCCAATTCACGATACAGCGCAACTGGCACTGGCTAATGTCATCGCTGGCAAGTACTTGTCCTCACACCTGACCTGGATATTATATTAGTTGAAGTCTAATGTCAATTATGTATTCATTACATTGAGAGATACTATTACGAAATTGTTGGTTAATTCTGTATAGTTTGGTTGTGCATTATATAGAAATTAACGATGGGAGGTTACTGATTCTGCTATTCACACTACTTATTTCATATGTCTGGTTATAATTGAAGACAATAAAATAATGTCTAGTTTATATTCATTTTTTGTATTACAGCATTAGTATTAGTAAGTGGTGATTACGTAATCTTAAGATTGGATGAACTTTTCGCTAAAATAGCTCCTTGTTATTCAGACATATTATCGGATATCAACTGACAGATTGATTAAAGAAGGGTTAAGCAGTCAGGACACTAAGAATATGAGATGATCATTTCTCAACCTCTCCTCGCTATCATCGATTAATGGAGAGATGGATTTCTTAGAATTTTATCTCAAATTTATGACTTTTGACTTGGGTCGTGTTGACTGACTGACTGACTGATTGGGTGGTTTCAACATAAAACTTTGCACAGATGTACAGCAGTTCGAGTTGCCATTGTCCATGCAGCACACAAAGAAAGAGAAGACAGTAAAGGGAAGTTCAAAAGAGAGAAAATAAACAGAAGTGTTAGGGGAAAAATAGTGTAATAAACTAGAACAGCAGACTATTATTGGTTATGACATATTACAAAGAGCGAATGTATCTGAGCCATCATTGAGAACAATTTTGAACCATATCACGAATTTCCTCCAGCCTTCATTGGTTCTAACTACCCAGAGGACCCCAACCAGTCAGGAAGTCTACACCTCTCTACGTGGACGGCTTAAACTAACTGCTATGGTTTTCATTGACTGATGAAACCATGTTTTGGTTTGTCCACCACTAGCTCTTTTCCAACCTGATCTTATGTCAGCTAGCATTGTCCGTCGAGGAATGTGATTCGGGTCATATTAGGTAAGAAGACAACTAGGTATCAATGAAATTCGACAGAAATGCTATTGATTTTAGTCTGTCGTTAGATCAATAATTGGAACCCGATCCAATGGCCAGCCCATGAATTCTAACTTCTGATAATTCACGACACAGCGCGACCGCTAGCCAATGTCATCGGTGGAAAGTATTTGTCCTCACATCTGACCTGCTGTAACCCACTAGTCACGACTTTTCACTAGAACCCAGGTAACTACTTACTAGTCACTAGTGAGAATCACAATGATATTCAAATGTTGGTTTGCGACGATTTGAGTGGTTACGGTCCTCTGCTGTACTCACTGAAGCCGGTGTCCCGCAAGGTGCTGTACTTTCTCCACTTCTCTTTTCTTTCTTTCAACATGACTTGCCATCCTCAAATGACATTAATTTTGTCAAATATGCTGACTACCTGACTGTATCTTTGCCTGTCAAATGTCAAAGCGACTGCTCTAAACTTAATGGCCTTCTGTCAGAAATCAGCCAGTGGTCCAAGGAAAACGGTCTTACCCTAAACCCCTCCAAATGCCAAACAGTCGATTTCACCTTTAGGCATAAATCTGACCTAAACAAACTGGTTAGCTCTCACGAGGTGTGCAACATAGATGGCACTGAAATAGAAACCACGTCGGAAATTAAATACCTAGACGTCATTCTATCTGCTGATCTCTCCTGGTCGTCTCATATCTTGGCGATTTCTAAGTAAATATTCCGTCTTACCTTCTACATCAAGAAGTTAAAACTCCAACAATTCGTTAATTCTCGCATTCTGCCTATTATTCTCTATTGTTCCCCCTTAGTTTTTCCCGGGCTACTGAAGAAAGACTAAACCTTATTACGCAGGATGTTAAAGGTTGTCAGCAGGGTAAGCAACGTGACACTTAACCAGCTTGTTAATATTCTGGTTGACAGGCGGCACATGGACTCATGTGAAAAATGAGCTAAATCCATTTTATCTAACTCACACCACCCTCTTCACTCACAACTCTCCCCTTGCATCTCACTAGAAAGTACAAAAACTCAACCCTTCTGTGCGATAAAGGAAGAATTAGGCGTGACACCTATAATTCATTAAATAGTCAGTAGAACAACTTGGCCTCGTCTTTCCAACTCATATCATTTATAGGTACAACATTTTCTTCCTTTCTTTTCCCTTTGTCTCTATCTCTTTTTTTCCGTTATGTGCTGCTTTGTTTCTTCCTCTGGCTTACGCCAGTAAATATGACAGCTCCTACTTTTCTAACACCTTCAAACACTGTTCAGCTTTACCTTTGCTAATGACATGCTAATATGTTGTTGTCATAATGAACTGAGATTTCCTTAATCTATATAGAATTCTATTTATTGATAATGTACTAACTGGATGCAATACTGTAGTAAAAGTGCTGAGAATTCCATTGTGTATCACAAGTACTGTTTTGGAATAAAACAAATTATTATTATTAGTTTTCATTTCTTTTCGTTCCGAGTAGGATAAAGGCTTCAAACTTTTTAAGTTTAAAAAAATAGGTGGTTTTGTTTTCTTAAAGGATGAAGTTCTTACCCTCACACCTAAACTTCCTTTTCTAACATGCTAACTAACGGCTAGTAAGTTAGGCGTGATGTGTAAGAGTGCATCTACAGGGAATCGAACGCTGGCCGTCTGCGTGTGTGTGTGGTTGGCAATCAATTTACCAGTGAGTTACCGACGCATACAACATCTACCTTGGTTAACTGAATTAACAACCCTTTCAAGGATTTAACGCAGGATTTTCAGGGTACAAGGTGAGCTTGCTGATCATTTAACCACCATTTAACAGCGCAACAACTGATGTCAGCTCATGATGAAATCTTCTAACCAATCAAACACAATCCCTAAAAGATTGGCGACTGGCCCCATTCAGTCAGTTTATCTGGGGGTTCTAGTGAGAAGCCGTGACCAGCAAGGCACATCAGGTCGAGGGTGAGACAGTAACCCATCGAAGAAGATATTGCGAAGTGGTCGCGCTGTGTCATGAGTGAATTGGCAGAAGTTAGAATTCATGGACTGACCAGTGGCTTAATGGTCTATGAGCTAGCTCGCCTTATAACCAGAAGCTCCTGGGTTCGAACTGCGGTGGTAGGTGCGTATTGATGAAGAGTCAAAAACCAGGCCGATGAAACAGCTGTCTAGTACTCCCAGGTATTTTCCGATGGTTCTCTAACCGGTGTCAGTTCATGATGAAACCCTCCATCTAATACCATTTCACTGCAATATTGAATGATGAGCGTAAGTAAGTATAGGTAGGCATTGTAGTAGGCAATGAGGGCAAAGTTAAACTTTAAGCACCACTAACTAACTAACCAATCAGCGAATGACCTAGAACGCACCAATCACGTGAAGGAGGCATTTTTGTGTATGGAATACATATATTTATGAAAAAAATGCATAAAAACTGTAGAAAAGTGTCACAGGGGATAACTTCCTCTCACATGTGATAAAAATAGCTCTCAGTTTCAGGTTAGAGTATATCAACAGAGTATAATTCAATTGTGGGTACAATTTATTTTGATAAAGTCTCCTAGTGTTATACAGTAATATTTCCTGAGCAATAAATTG